TATTTCACTTATCCAAGTCAATTAAAATGCAAGGTTTGTTTGATATATTTATGATGTAAAAATCTTCACAAAATTTATAGAAAAACTTGATAAATTATCGAGTTTTTTTCTGTACCTGAATTATCAGTATTTACAGAAAATGTTTTTGTGCTTATTATCACACGCCATGTATCATGTTAACTATATATATGTGACCCCTTCTTAGATGAGTTAGTGTGTCAGAGTGATTGAATAAAACCTTGTAACTTACGTTAAAAAAATGAACCATCTTTTAAATATATGTCACATATCACCCAGTTTTATGCTTGATTTTTTTGTTTTGCTTGTTTTGATTTTAAAGATCCACATAAATTTACCAGTCAGTTACTCATCGTTTCATAAGAAGCAAGGCCGTGTCTAAACACTTTGCCCCCTGAAAGGTCAGATCTACAATCGGTAACGGATTTTCCTGTGAAGAAAAATTGCAGGTATTTGGCATTATGAAATTTACGTTTAGATTTATGGCAATCCGAATTTAAACAAAGATGATATCTTACTGGCGTAAATCAGTTCAAAATCTCTCTCTCTCTCTCTCTCTCTCTCTCTCTCTCTCTCTCTCTCTCTCTCTCTCTCTCTCTCTCTCTCTCTCTCTCTCTCTCTCCCCCCCCCCCTCTCTCTCTCTCTCTCTCTCTCTCTCTCTCTCTCTCTCTCTCTCTCTCTCTCTCTCTCTTCAAGTCTTTCGTTTTGTTCTTCTTTGTCATCCTTCATGTTGTATGTGCATGACTTATTTACACAAAGTAACTCTATTTATTTCAACTAATACTAACTATACACGACGAGAAGTGTCTTACTGCGGTGGGAGAAAACCGGAGAAAAACCTATATCCGTGAAGGGAATCGAACCCCAGACGACAAGGTGAAAGACCAGTGTCTTACAACTGGGCTACACAACCACGACTTGATGATAACGATGTAATGATGATGATGATGATGATGATGATGAGGATGATGGTGTTACTCATAGGTACATATGTATATGTCGGTGTCTTGTTAAATTCTTGCAAAATAAAGAACAGATTTATAAAAGCAGTACAACTTGTTGATCTACTTGCGCTCGCTTTTAGGCAGTGCTTTTTTCATTTTAAATTATTATTAATAATAGCCATTGTTCGCCGAATATAACCTCCGCGGTTTTTTTTATTGTAGCCAAATCATTTATGAGAATAAAGGCTGCCTCATTTGACACCAGACATCGTTTACACATGGTGGAGCGTCGATATGCTTGTCATAATTATCAATGTTAAATGTCGTCATACCATATCTAAAATTAAAATTTCAAATCAAAATATTTTTTCCTTGATAAAAAAAAAAAAAAAAAATCTCAAATCGTTTCTTTATTCATATCAGCATCAGTCTGTACTAATTGACAAATGGTGAATTATTGCTTATGAAATACCAATTGGTTTTCTTCTCTTGGTGACAATGAAATAAACAAAGAAAATATCGAGAATCCGAAAAGATTCCGTACCGGAAGGAAATAGGTACGTTGTAATTAGCAATGCATTTCTGGTAACATAGCAACAGCCTCATTTGTTGTCTTTGTGAATGTTTAAAAGATCAATGAGAAGATGCTTACGTCAAGACTTTGTTTACACCGCATGTTCATATTAAAACAACACCTGTTGTTCTATCGGTTCATCAGTCATGTTGGATTTCAGTAGGGATTAACTTTAACATAGAAGTGTATCAAATATTAACATGTTTCACTACTAATGAATTCTAATTAGACTACTATAATGTTTCTTGTCTTGACCAAAAACATTCGTTGCAATAAAAAAAACATGACATTTTAATGAGATATCTGGGAACCAAATAATGTTTTCCAAACGGGTACGATCATTGCTATGTTTCTCTCTAGGGTGATAATGGATCAGGCAATATTCCTCTCTAGGGTGATAATGGACCAGGCAATATTTGTCTCTAGGGTGATAATGGATCAGACAATGTTTATCACTAGGGTGATAATGGATCAGGTAATGTTTATCACTAGGGTGATAATGGATCAGGCAATGTTTATCACTAGGATGATAATGGATCAGGCAATATTTGTCTCTAGGGTGATAATGGATCAGGCAATATTCCTCTCTAGGGTGATAATGGATCAGGCAATGTTTCCCTCTAGGGTGATAACGGATCAGGCAATCTTTGTGTAGGGAACAATAAGGAAATAATTAGGACCAGGAAAATATATATGTGTCCGTTTGATAACGAAGAATTGTTTTATTGATCTATCTTGATTTAAACATATTGTGTTGTAACAAATACAACGGCATTGGGCACAAGTTTTCCAACTTATCTTAAGTCCTTTCTCCGTAAAATGAAATTATTGAAATATTTGTCCAAAAGATGGGTACTACCTAACAAAATTTTATCCGTAGGACACGAAAATCCAAGAATTTATTCAAGGAATAATTAGGAAACAGACAATATTTCCCAATGTCAGTACTACGAACCAAGTTTAGTTGTTGTATAACTAATAATTTATTTAATACTGACCTTACTACAAATATTTAAGTTAGATAGTTATAACACAAGTGATTTTTATCCAGACGGAAAAACAAGAAACATTTCTCTGAGGACTTAAGAAGGAGACGAGATGCTACATATCTGATACGATACCAAATGATATTAATTAGATGACAAGGACTTGATTGTATAGCAACAACCAAGTTCGTCCTGAGGCTTTGAATGACAATCTTTAGGGAATAGTGTGGCGACTTATATAACAAGGGGAGAACCGTTCTTATCAACACGTTGGAAAATATGTAAGATAGAGAAAAGTATTCAAAGACTTAAAGAATGAAACCATCAGATTATGGTGGATTTGTAAATAAATTGATTAATGATGGGTAGAAATACTAGTTATGAAATCAACAATTCAGGTGAAAATATGTGACGTTCATTGGAAGTCAAGGCATATATTTTGGCGAGATGGGCTCAAGCATGTGAATTTATTTAAAAGAGGTAAATATAATTTGAAAACGTTGATAAATGAATACGAGAAACACGTTATTGCAAGGGTGATTCTGAATATACTCGTAAACGTCACCTTTTCCACGTCGACCATACTTTACAGGAAACCTCCATCAAATGCGGCAGCGTAACTGCAATCCGCTGCGTAGATATGTTCGGGTAGCAAACACTACGTAAACAGATGACATGCCTTAGTTATGATGCATATCTTTTATAATATTGAGCTTCCTAAACGAACCTGTTAACACTTAAGATTTTCTGATAGAAGGAAGAAGCAAACATTTTATCGCAAGGCGTAAATTTCAATAGAAAATCCAGGTATAGATCAGGAAGGTCTGAAGTAGCACGATGTAAGGAGAATGCATTTCCCTTGGTAACGGAATTTTGAGACGAAATAGAAGGTTTGAAATCAGAAGTCACTATAAATATTGATGTTGTGGCACTTGTGTCAAGCATCATTTGAACAAGTTAAACCAGCCAATAATTTGTTGTTATGTTCAGAATGTTTTGTGTATCTAAGTCTAATGCCGGTAAGAATGAAGGCACGAGAATTATGGGGATATTAACCAGCTCTACGTTTCATCACGATTTACTTAGACGGTCTCCGGATAGTGATAATAAAGTACCTTTGATTTTTTTAATATCTATTCAGTAATATTGTATTATATTTATTATCACATTACGTTTTATAACGCAATAAAAAAACGACTCAACTAAGTGACAGTACTGCTTACATATATGTGTCAATAAATAACATGATTTCTTTGTCAACAATATTACTGTTACAACATAAACATAGATACAACATGTATTTCATGTGTATGTCACACTTGAGAGAAGACAGATTTTTCCGTAACCTTCTCTATCGTGGTCAAGTACGTATTTGAATACTTCCTCGTTTTCGTTCAAATTATCTGTTTTAATGAAGTTTTACAGTGTGAAATACGATGTGTTTGAGCACAATACATTAGACACGTTAGTATCACACGGCGTGATCATTCCTTTACAAACTTTACAACTAACAAGCTAGCATTTGAATTGTCTCCTATACTGGCTATGCAACATGAAGTAGCACAAAGCGGTGGCTTTCAATGCAAGCCGATCAGCAAGGAATGATAATAATGCCAAAGTATAGGTTAAGGGATAGACAAAGATTACCGAAACCAGATTTATGTCAAGAGAGCAATATAAGCAAGAGCCGATATATTTCGTTAGAAAATATTTGCACGAACTGATCTGCGGAGATACACATATCTCGGACTTACACACATGGGTAGAGTAGATAATGATATTGCATATGCACTTCATATAATCTCTTTTCCCCTTCTGTTCTTTCCATCTTCTCTTCATGATTTTGATAAAATGATTTAAACTTACAATTGTACATCTACGAATTACATATTTTCATGTTTATAATATAAATATCATATGATTGTCATGTGCAGTATATTAATTATTTGTTATTTTGTCTATGGAGGAGAGTTCATAAGTTGTTAGAATTTGTCTCTGATCCATTTATCTGCTACTGATAATAAAATGTGTTTAAATCAATATGGCAAAATATCATATTTACAAAATTTGTATAGCAACGACTCTATTCAGTTATTAACCACGGTATTTCGACGAGTACGTGACAAGCAACATATAGCTTGGACTCCATTAGAAATATTCATATCGTATTGAAGTCCATGATTACAATCTTAAAGTCAGAAATATACTTCTTCAGCGTCTGTACTCCTCAGAATGATGTTTTATTGCCTTCTTAGCCATTGATAGTTTTAACCTTTAAGCTAGAGAAGTCAACACTTGATAATTAAGTAATTACTGTTAGAACCTTTCTTTACTTTATAGTTTGTGTAACAATTATAAGAGTAAACAAACATCGTTTTATGTAACGCCCATCGCCCCGACAGCACAACTGGGAGCAACACGCTATCACACGGAAGTAGAATTCGGAGAAAGCGGAAGTGCGTTGTACTTTCAAGAAACATGGCGGCCTACAGGTGTAATGTGTCGTTGGCGGTTGGTTGTTTCTGTCTTTTCTTGGGCGTAATTGCAGACTGGAACACAAACGATTATCTGAGGCGAGAGCACACACTTGTCAAGCCGTACCAAGGTGAACTAAATAGACGTATATTCCACACAACACCTAATTAATGCGGACCCACCCTCGCAATGACCGGTTGGTCATCTTCCCATCACCTGTATGTCAGGATGAACTTCCTGATAAGAAACACGATATTTACTAATAATGATGTTAATGTACAGTTATGTAGACTATTTTAATGTCCTGCATTGAATTAAGATTCTCTATATGATTTGTGAGGGAATGGAACGACAGGAAAAGTTGTTTATTTTAAATCAGGGACGTATATTACAGGGGATGAGAAACTGACTATATCGCTTTCTAATACGTACACTATATCGAACAGATGCTGTGGTTTTTTAAAACCAGTTTTTCTTTCAAAGAACTTATATACATAGCAGTAGAAAGATTGAAATTTTCAAATCGATTATGCTAACTTTTGTGATAAATTAATTTTTCTGGTACATCATTTTGATTTATTAGTATTATTTTTCGTTACAAAAATGAGATTCACCTCTCACTGATTGACAAAATGGCTGAGATCGTGGCTGTCAGTTATAAGTTCAGATGAACTACAACATAGAAGTGAGTAGGGCACATGTACAGGAAGATAAGATTAGATAAGAACAGTAAGAGAGGGCTTATCATCTCAGTGAACAAACTTAAAAGTTTATGTCAGAGAAATCACTATGGGGCCTGATTTCTTATCCCTCTATATCATATGGAAAAACCACTAAGCCATAAAAGAGTACATGTAACTGTTTCTGCATGTATTGTAAGTTGAATTCAAACCATTGATTGGTGATTGGTTATACAGGATTTTTTTGCCTATATCTCTTGTATTGTCATCCTACAGACAACGGACAGTGTTCTGACAGAAGTTCCTTTAATATACACTCAATACAAAAGGAAATTGTATTTTAAGTGCCAGGATATTTGCAGAGCCAAAGCACTTAAATCTTCATCACAATTCAAAATATATCTCGCAAAGTATACTTAGCTGAAATATAACACCATAGGCCTGTCTCCCTTAATTTTGAAGGTCTTGACCACATATGATTTGCCAAAGGATTGGTGACAATTCAGTTCTGCATCTTGATTTGCTATTATTTGCTTTCCCTCACTATGAAATGTAATTGAAAAGTGTAATACTGTTTCTCAATGCCAGCAATAATTTTTGTAAGATTTTTGAGGAAAGTCTTGAACACCAATTCCAAAACTTTTGTCAGTCCCAATACTTAGAGATGAAGGAGGTTCTCAAAATTTCAGATAAGGCATGAGTCTGTTACTGCAGGACTCAAATATGAGTCCCAAAAATTCTCAACTAGACTCATTCACCCAGTCACTTAATCACTTCTGGAAAGTAACTGTAACTTTTGATGCTTATCACAATGAATAGTAATACTATTTTGTAAAATATACCAACTTCAGTGTAATCTTAAAATTTGTTTTTATAGGGTCTGGATCATCTATGCCATTATGGGACTTCGTAGGAAGTACACTTGTCACTAATAACTATGTACGTCTGACACCTGACCACCAGAGTCGACAGGGAGCGATATGGAACACTCAGGTATTTTACAGGTTTTACATCCTTTTTGAAATTCGAAAGGAATTATCATTGTATTGAGTTGGAAAGGGAGTGGGGGGAGGGGGGGTGGAGGGTGAGTTTAGGGTGTTACCCATGTCCATCCATGCTGTTGTATCCCATCACATCCGGTTTTGAATCTTTGTTATATCATGAAAATTTCTGTACAGATTTTGATTTATATTTACCAAATATCATCATTATTACATTAATTCAGTATCTAAATGTGATAAAATATTCTAGTTTGAATAGGAGAGGAGACCTGCATCATGCATAGTAAGGCTCTCACTTTTCCTGGATTTCTTAAGGAAACATATTGTTGGAAATGAATGTTTATGTAAATATTGACAGACAAGCTTAGAGAATGATTAGATGTCAATTCAGTTTTGCTTCCCTGATACTAAAATAATGTCTCTGCCATTTTTGTGTGTTTGTATGGGGGCTGTCATTTTGTGTATGTGTGTATGGGGGCTGCCATTTTGTATGTATGTGTGTGTAGGGGTGGGGGGCAGTCATTTCGTGTGTGTATGGGGGCTGTCATTTTGTGTATGTGTGAATGGGGGCTGTTGTGGTGTGTGTGTATGGGGGCTGCAAATTTGTGTGTGTGTGGGTTGGGGGTAGGGGGCAGCTATTTTGTGTGTGTGGGGGGTTCTGCCATTTTGTGTCTGTATATGGGGGCTGCCATTTTGTGTATGTGTATGGTTGCTGCCATTTTGTGTGCAAGTGTGTATTGGTAGGGAGTGTGATGTTGATAATTATTAGATCATTTGATAAAAAATATTTTTTTACATGTAATGACTTTGCTATATTTTACACAAACAGCCATGTCATACAAGAAACTGGGAACTTCATGTTCAGTTTTCTGTGCACGGTTCAGGTAGTACATTATTTGGAGATGGAATAGCAATTTGGTATGCCAAGGAGAAAAATAGGTTGGGTATGTAGACTTCATTTATCTGTGTTTTAGTTTGAACTATAAGTTATTTTTTCATCTTCTCACTGTTTTGCTTGATAATTTATTCTTTAAAGTTTATTCTTTTAACATTTTCATGCTAAACATTAATTCAAATTTTCTGCATGAGAATACATATGCTTTATCTTCCTTCAAAAATAGTGAAATAAAAAATTAATCTTCTGATGTTATAGATGAAGCTTGTATTTATTGTTTTTATAGGTGGTGTGTTTGGCAATGCTGATTTTTTTTCTGGATTAGGAATATTCTTGGACACATACAGTAATCACAATGGCCCACACAATGTAAGTTTTACTTCAGGATTGTAATGTTGTAGAATTACAAATAATTCAGATACACACTTCCTAGATCTAGCAAATGTAGCGATGGTCTTGTATATACTGATGCATTGATTTGCATTACCACGCATGGTAAGCTATATTTTGTTACAAAAAAAAATTGTCCATTAATTATGTTAATTCTGGTACTTGAATATGTGGATAAAAAATGCAAATTTTTCTACTTTTTTCAGTAAATGTTGACATTTTGAATTAAAAGATTATTTAAGTTGTCAAATGATTTTGAAATGTTTCTGTTACAGCATGAACACCCATACATATCTGCTATGGTAAATAATGGTTCATTTACCTATGACCACGACCGTGATGGAACACACACACAGCTAGCTGGTTGTGAAGCCAAGTTCAGGAATAAGGACCACAGCACGTATCTAGCCATCCGTTACCATAACAACATCCTCAAGGTCAGTTTCCATGGAAACGAGTAAATTTGTGTAGAACAAAATGAATCCTCCATGTATGCCTTAAGAGACAAGGGAAGTAAAACTAGAATTATAAATGTAGTGAGTTCTAGGCTGACTTTTATAGTATTGGTGATATGTTAGCCAATTTCAGGATCATTTTGATAGCAAAATGCAACAATCTAATTGATGAATTTATACATTAGATTTCGTAGCATGGATAGTATGAAAAAGATTACAGAATGTTAAGTTGGTAAAAAATATATTCCGAGCATGTGATTCATGATTTTCAAGCAGTATAATCAGAAGCAACATGTTGATCATTAACATGTTTGCTGAAAGGCTTGTCACATTAATGGTTCGTTTTCCCTTCCAATCTGTTATACAGGTTTCTATGGATATTGATAACAAGAATGGCTGGAAAGAATGTTTTGAAGTTCGTGGCATCCGTTTACCACTTGGATATTATTTTGGGGCTTCAGCTGCTACTGGAGAGTTAGCAGGTAGAGTATACTCTGTAACTGATGGACCTTATCAGATGGACAGAACACTGATAACATGTCTCTCTATACATAAACTTCACCTTTTGTTGAGTCATGAAAAAACTAATCTTTAGTATTTACACATGTGACAGTTGCAAAGGGTCAGGATGACCTATAGCCACTGTGTAGCATCTGTCCTTGGGTCCTGTCCCCTGTGTGCAAACTTTTTTATATTTCAAACTTTTTCTATAGTTCAAACTGTGGGATTGAACTCAAATGTGAAGTGATCCTGAGATTTTCCTGACCAGGTTTTGTTAATTTTTTTAGGGTTGGTCCAAAATCTGATATGAGCTCCATCTTTAAAACCTATTTGAGAACTTTTGCTAAGTTCCACTGCTGCCATTGAGTGGAAATTTTGAGGGGATGTTGAGAAACTATGGCCTATGGGCCTCTTGTTTACCATGGCCTCTTTAAATAGAAAAAAAGAAGACAGAAAAATTGTTAAACACCTCAAAAATCAGCAACGCACCATACATGCAATACTTCATAACAGAAAGCAAAATCTCCCTATTTTCAACCCAATATTTGTCTTTGTGAAATATCCCCATCTCCACGTTTTGTAATTCCCTCCTGTTTTTTCTCTCTTTAGAGAGCCCTGGCTTAAACAGGATATAATCTTACTCGTGGTTATATCAAAGTCAAAAGTCTTTACAGACCCAATATAAAGTTTTTAAAAATTATTTGAGAAATATTTATGAAATATTGGGGCTCTGTTCAGCACATTTAGATACTTCTGTTATTGATTAACAAATCAAATTGTTGCAATTAATCACTGTGACAAGCACCTTTTTTTTGGCACTTTTAGCTAAAGATAACGTGTGTTGTATTTTGGGAATTATCTCCCCTTGTATGTGAATGGAAATGATATAAAAATGTCCTAAAATTCTATTGATTTCAACATGCCTGAAGAAAAAGGATAGTTTCAATGATATCTGACATTTGCGAAAAGAAATGACATTGACCCTTATTGAAAGTCACAAGGAGGGATCAATTTTTTTTAAACCTGTACAAGTTTCTTCTGGTAAACCAAAAGTCTAAGAAGCATGATAATTGATGGAAAGTTGTTCCTAGGAAAAGGTCCCAACAAATTTTGGGAAAAAAATCCAGGTCATAACTGTCACTGTTAGGGTTGAGTAATAGAAGCTATTTCTTGTTGAAATCAATCAAAATTGATTGGATGTGCCCACTTTGAATGCCAATGGTGTACATGTCAATATATTTGTGATATGAACACTGGTTCAATTTTTGATGAATGTTGAAAACACAGGTGAGTGATGCAGGCCTATTGGGTCTCTTGTTGCATTGTTACATAAAAATAAATTACAGACTAATTGTATATTTTCCTTTCTTCAAATTAACATGAAACAGCACCATCTTTATAAATCATTACGGTATGGTAACTTGTAGGATGCAGAAATTGATATGAATTGCTTTAGCAATACTCATACAACAAACTGAACATCAATATTTTCTTGAAAATTCAAATGAATGAAAAACATTTCTGTTTTGTTTTGACAGATAACCATGATATAGTTTCTATGAAGCTGTATGAACTTGACCCACCTGAGGGAGTAAGTATTACACATTAACAGAAAAAAGTAATGTACCTATCAATTTACAATTGTGAAGGTAAGATAGAGTTTTCTGACTTTTTTCAAGGATGAAGTATTAGCCATGATGAATGTAGAATATATCTTTAACAGGATAAAGAAAGTATTATTCAAAATAACCAGGGCATTCCTTACATTTCAATTTAGTAATTCAAGTTTTCGAGTGTGAAAAATAAACCTTGAGTTTATAGATTTACTATTGTGAACTTCAGCAACAGGAATATTGGGGACTGCCATCAGCTGATGTATATGAAGCACCACGAGGTATGTTATTGTAGTTTTATAAAATGTATTGTAAAACAAGTTGGTCTCATATACTGCAAATCAATGTTGTGTGACCAAGATCTTTAAGATGACAACAAAATATAATATTGTATATAGCATTTCTTTTTTCCCAATTGTAATGGATTAAATCTTTATCAAATTAAAAGAGAAATAGAAAAGTTATTTATTTTCCAATTGTTTTCAAGTTTAATAATTTTTTTTTTCAATTCAGACCGTGTGGCGGATGTGCGATCAAGCATGAGTGGTTGGAAGATTTTCCTCATCATTATTTTAGCCATCATAGGCCTGGGTGTTTGTGGTGTGGTGGCATATGTAATATTTAATAAAAATAATGATTATACACGGAAACGCTTCTACTGATAAAAACAATAATGTTTGATCTAAAAAATCCAAATTTTGTATACATCGAAATGCCATACACCACAATCACTTGCTATTGGATTTTGGATCTAGAATATACCAAATGTGGTGTCAATTATTTCCATTCCAACTGGTACTTTGTGTTTTTGAATGCTTTAAAATTGAAATGATTTTATAATTTAAGGTTCTGTATTATGTTGAAATGGCTGATTCTTCAGTAAATACAAAGAAGTTTTACAGTTATGAATGATAAAATCTGGACAGTAATTGTGCAATTAATTTTGCAAGTGTTAATTAATTTCTAAATTAAAAAAGATGTGACTGAATTAATTTCTAAATTAAAAACATGTGTCTGAATTAATTTCAAAATTAAAAAAGATGTGTCTGCAAAACCACAAAAGATGTTTAATATATAATGTGATAGATATAGTCCAGATTGTGAATACTTATCAGATTAACACAATATCGCGCTATAAATCTATTTACGATTTTCCTCTCTGACAATTAACCAGAGACTAATATCTTCAAACAGACATTTTTTCTTTCATTATTACTGTTGTATCTGTTTGTTTTTGTTTCATCTTCTTCGGGTACAGTTTTCTAGTGAGTATTTTGCAAATGTTTATGTTTTGAATAGTGATCTGAGGGAAAAATATTCCTACAGAAGGAAACTGTTGTAATATGGTGACAAGAAATATATTTTTCTGTGTAAAATTCATGAATTTAGATATTACTGATTTTTGATGTATTCTTGGCTGTTGAAAGTATACATGTGAATTGTTTGTTGAGAGGGAAAATGATGATAAATTTTATAGAATATCAGATTCTTAATGTACGATATATTGTGCACCCTTTCCAAACAGCTTTAAAACAAAATTAATATTCTTTTAGTTCAGACATTGGCATTTGACCAGATTAAATAGGTAAGAACAAGGAACCTGTGACAAATTGGTAACAAAATGTACTGAATTTACTGCATTTAGAAGTTCATCCTGTCCTTATTTCACAAATATTCTATTAACTTGAAATTTAAAAGTGAAAACATTACAAACTTTCAGGAATATATGCTCAATGAAGCAAGATAGATTCTTCAACTGCTATTTTGTTGTCCTGTAGAGAAGTTTATATATACCTCATAGGTATTTCCTAATGTTAAAAAATATTTAGAAAAAACAAGACTTATATAAGAGTGTCTTTGTAACTTTATGTTTGATTTACTGCGCTAAATTCATTATCAAAATATGGGTAAAACAGCAGTTTAACATCAGGTAAAAGTTAAGTCTGAAGCATTGTGATATAAACAAGTGTCTTTTTATGACCATAGCATTGGAATTTGATTTACTGTTCAGTGTTTCATGCAGAAATCAGTTGATGCTGACATGAAAAACCTTGCATTGTTGATGTTTGTAAAGTAAATTGAGAAATGGGTTGTTCATAACCAATTATACTCTGGCTATGTTGAGATCTTTTTCTCAAAAAGATAAAAGCATTCAAAACATCAACTAAAGATGGGAGAATTCTTAACACAAAATGAACATGGGAGAATTCTAAGCATTAAAAAGATAATAAATATGGAAGAATTCCGAAACATCAAATGTTAGAGTATATTTTTAAGTCAATTAGAAATCAGATAATTGTAATCACAAATTAACCATGAGAAATTTCTTAACATCAACTAAAGATGAAAGAATTCTTATAACATCAATTAAACATGGAAGAATTCTAAACACCAAAAGAATTTGAAACGTTAACTAAACATGAGAAAATTCTGAACATCAAATAAATATGTAAGAATCTACGAAAATGGAAGTTACTTAAGACTTATGTCTTGCATTACTTCAGACAACCTGTTTATCATTAGTCATGCCGAAAGTTGTATAACTAATGGGTAAACAACTCCACGCTATCTAGGTTCAGTGTCTGACCTCCAAAACGTTGAATTTGTATGATTTATCATATTTCTAAAGACTTATAAGTGTTATATTTTTGTCATTACAATATTTGTTTTATAGTGTAATTGTAGATTGCCATGAGATCTATTTGATAAAGAATGTGAACATGCTTAATAGAATAGATTTTTTACCTATTCATGACATATAGCTGCATCATATTGTGATTTGTTTCAGCAGTAACCACATTCCTTTTTGGCTTTATTGTACAAATTTTTGTGTCTTAAGTTTATCATATATCTCTCATAACACATTGCAATCATCTTCAGTCCATTGTATGTATATCAAAATTGTGATTTGTTGTTCTGTGTGTCCAGTTTGTGATGTCACAATGTTTGGCACGTTTTGGTTACGTATATAGCAATAATATAGTATCTGGCATTATAAGGAAGGCTATAATTTTTTTTCCAACTTTCACAAATTAGACACCTACCTTTTATTGGTGTGTTCTAACTGAGCATTGTATTGTGTTACCTATACTTCTGTAGCTTACAGTATAAATTCTACTGGTATTTACAGCGGTGGAATAAGTTTGTTAAACCACCATTGTATGATATCCTATATCTATAGCTGCCATTTTTCTTTTTCTACATTTTTTTTATATACATACAGCATGATCCTTGTAATATTTGAATAGCTCTGTGGGAAATACTTATGGAAGGGTAATGAAGAATCTTATAATTCCTTGGCCAGTTTTACAAACATTTCTACCTTATTTTGATAAATATGTTTGTATAAATCATAGAAATAATATGCAGAATATCAGTGTTATTACAGTCTTCATACAAAAAAAAATAGTTTTTGAGATTGATAGCACTATGGTTTTGCATTTTCCTTAATTCATTTTTGTGTACGAGCATTCTCATGTTCAGTTTTAATTTGGAAACACTTGATTTACACGTTAGGTCCTATAAGACATCATTTTTTTTATTAAATGGTTTGTGGTCTTGTCCGGTGGTTATAGAGACAGGCAGTACTTTTAGGCAATCCTTTCCACTTTGATTTTTCCATGAATGTAGTTTCCTCTATGAGTTGTATTTATAATAATTTGGCTATTTATGTTAATATTCAAGTTGTATCAGTTGAGTATGATCAGATATCAGAGTATGTATTTATCAGTATGTTGTTTATTCTGTTAGTTAATTATCTCTAATTTCATGCAATAAACTTTTTACTAATTATATTACTAAAAAGGTGGAATATGATTTTTCTTTATTTATCATTTTTTTTAGATTTTTCACATGCTTTGCTAATCATTGTCTGCGTTGATTCCAATAAATACAAAACTATACAATAATGAAAGATGTCGGCAAAACTTTCAACCGAAAATTGTGAATAATTCACTAACTTATATTAAAGTTCATTTACCTTAAATAAGAAGTTGGGAATAATTTTTGTGAGGTTTAATCAACTTCCAGTTAAAGATACTTGTTCTGCACAATTGACTCATACAGGAAAGTATAATTGCATTATAGATGTATGTACTTGTAATAGTACAAGAATGATATGTAAGGAAATCATCACTTGGTAGTAATTAATGATGTATAATTACTAAGTCAGATTTGTTTTTACAAAAGATATTTTCAATAGTTTCACTAACAGCAAAAGGCCTTGATTGATTTGCTTATTGGTTGTTACTAGGCTGGTATCTCAGAATGGCTATTGATTTTCTTTTGTGTAAACATTAAGTAATTGCATGCTTTTTACTGCTACTTTTTTATCGATTTAAGCAATTACAAGCTAGCATTCTGAAATACCTTTTCATATAAATGATTATGGTGCGGACATAGATGTGTTGATGGGACAGAGTGCATTCAAATGTCCTGTTGATAATACATGCATACTTGGTGCTGATGTCCTTCACTAGATTTTGTGAGATGATAGTTGATGTATGAGATGTTCACACGTGTAAATAATGGCTGGAGTAAACACTAGATGAATAAATCAGAGAATGAATCAAAAATTTTATGAGAATTGTTTGTTTATATGTCTGGTCACATCACAAGGCGGCGTTTATCTACAACATTTTATGTCTGGTCACATCACAAGGCCGCGTTTATCTACAACATTTTATGTCTGGTCACATCACAAGGCGGCGTTTATCTACAACATCATATGTCTGGTCACATCACAAGGCGGCGTTTATCTACAACATCATATGTCTGGTCACATCACGAGGCGGCGTTTATCTACAACATCATATGTCTGGTCACATCACAAGGCGGCGTTTATCTACAACATCATATGTCTGGTCACATCACGAGGCAGCGTTTATCTACAACATCATATGTCTGGTCACATCACAAGGCGGCGTTTATCTACAACATCATATGTCTGGTCACATCACAAGGCGGCGTTTATCTACAACATCATATGTCTGGTCACATCACAAGGCGGCATTTATCTACAACATCATATGTCTGGTCACATCACAAGGCGGCGTTTATCTACAACATCATATGTCTGGTCACATCACAAGGCGGCATTTATCTACAACATCATATGTCTGGTCACATCACAAGGCGGCGTTTATCTACAACATCATATGTCTGGTCACATTACAAGGCAGCGTTTATCTACAACATTTTATGTCTGGTCACATCACAGGCGGTGTATTTGTCACAGCTATATACACAGTTATGTGTTTCTCTAGTCCTCTATTTATACAGTACTTTGTGTACTCAATGGGTATAGTACTTTGTTTGTCTCCTCAAAATAGTAAAAAAAAACAAGCAGCTCTTTTTATCTGGAAAAAAACCACTACCCTGGTCTGTAATTCACCAAATTAATATTACGGGGCTCTTAAGATATCTTATCTGGTTTTATCATGCATTTTGTTAGTACAATGCATGTTTTTATATAGTCAAATTAATATCATCCTATGCTATTTATAAGTTTGTATCCTCAAAACGATACAATGTAATGCTACTTAATTTTATGCTGTCATATGAGCCCATTTTAAGCTATGTAAGTTACTCTATAAAAACATATTACTTTTCCGTGGTGTGTTAAAAATTACAAAGCTATGCTAACAGATTCAGGAAGTGCTATCAACACAATATTCAAGACATCAGTCATTTGTATTAGGTTGGCTTGTGTACAGGGCGGATGTCGTTGATGAAGCAAAGACGCTTACTCTTCCGAAACACAGTATAATTATCCTTGTGCTTTTAAAGGTGTCTGGTGTATGGAATTTGAATTTGGATTATGTTTCTGTTGACGTGTTGGTGTTTTCTTTATGTTTCTGGAAAAATGAAAATGTTCTGTAAAAGCGTCTTTCTGCAATTTTGTATTACTTTCAACCATTGGTACATCTTTATATCAAAGTGAATATTACCAAGAACAAGGTACAGTATCTCTGATATACATTATAAATTTTCTGAATAGACAAAATATACATGTACAAGGATATAACACGTTTCCATATAACTTGCAACTATTACGCACGACTGTTACGTTATCAAAACCAAACAGCTAAGTGTTTAGATAGAAAAAAGATTAGGCAAGGAAAAGGCAACTAAGACTGAATGAAATTAATGTTTTACAATTGACACATCAATGGTAAAATCATAAACTGATGTTGATAGTAAAAACGACAGACATCCTGTGCTAAAATTATAACATATATCTATATGATTCTAGACGAACGCTCGGGAACTTCCTATTTTCCTTGTCTATACCTCTGTTGTTATCTCCCTTTATACGAACTCACGTCTGGTGTGTTCGTGGTTGATGCAAGGACGTTAAAATAGGGGGAAAATCATGATTGACATTTATCTCCATATACCTCGATTTATTTACAGATAGCAAAGTTTCGCGTGTATTGTGCATCTCCGTATACATTGTGCAATCCTATAAATACATGTGCAAATCAAAGATGGAACTTAACATATTCGAAAAAAGTTACGACCGCAGGTTACGATTTATATGTTAGAATATCGTTACGTTATAACAAATATGATCCGTTATTGTTTACTGAACAAACGATGGTTAACTTAAATGCATTGTGTGGTTGTGATATCGAGTTAAAATTACCATAACTCACACGACACAAGGTATCTGCGAGATTATGGTACTGTGTAGCATTCGTCACCCTTCCGCTCGTCAAATCTATAAAAGCTATTAACAAAATGTTGCTGGTATTTACTGTTTTAGCCCATAGAACAATGAGCTCGCCAGTGTGTTTATTGTAGTAACCCCAGCCATTATCACAGTAAGATTCATTTTATTTACATTATTCTAACCTTTCTAATTATTTACATTTTTGTTAAACATGCCAATATTTCTAATATAATGGACATCTCCCATAACGTTGATATAAATCTGACCAAGAAATACTTCTAAACCGTCAAACTTGTCGTTAAGGCCACCTTTATACAAATACCTCCTGTTTATAAAGATCATTTTTTTCCCTTTAAATTTCAATTCATAGTACTTTGACCTCTATATAAAGACCACCTGTGTTTGAAGGCCACTTTTCGCTGCTCCCTGGAGTGGCTTCTTATAGACAGGTTTGATTGTTTATTCATTAGGCAAGTGGTACCCGTAACAATTTTAGGTAAGATGGTCGTATAAGCATTTCCATCCATATGTGTAAATCATTGCTTTTAACTATAACGCTCTCATGTACTATGAAAAAGTATTTTTTCCGCTTAAACCGTTATGTTCCAGTCTCCGTGCTAAATATTGTCTATGCCTTTCCTACAACAGATATACTACATCACTTCAGGCAAAGCCTAGCATTTCCAGATAAGCGATATATTCCGATCAGGGGCAACGTCATACTATTCAAAGCTTATCTGTTCACCATTATACGAAACAAGAAAATACCAACATGTCAACATAATTCTAATCCAAACTCGAAGAGTTACGCGGATACTCCTGAAAAAGAACGAGGACAATTAGATTAAGTGTTTCGGAGGAGTGAGCGTCTTCTGCTTCATCTGTAGCCTTCGCTCAATCCAAGCAAGAAATGTCTCATTCTCAAGGCTGTCGTTCCCTTTAACTGTCACAATCGTTTCTGGGTCAATTTGTCAATACGAGGTTGGGTGTCAAGAGGGCACAAGGAATGGAAAACAACATTCAGACAGGAAAGAAATTATCATTATCCAAATGTCTTGCAATGGGGACAGCAGATCTGTTTTGGTCTCTTCAAATATCTTACTTGTGGCAAATACGTAAGAAAAAAACCATATTCTACAAGAGACAAACTTTTAATCGCCGCCAGCAGTGGGAATACATGTACAATAGACAGTAATCTTGGGCACTGTGACGTCAACTTCAACTTTTCTACGATGATTTTTTTCTCCAATTTTAACCACTTGGTAAAGTTAATTAACAACAAGTCTTCAGATTCTCAAAATTCTAGACTTATTATATTATTTTTGTAAAAACAGGGAAAACATCAAATTTGGGCCCCGCAATAAAATGGAGAAAGTGGGGCATAAAGCGTTGCCCATCTCCGTCCCGCCCATCCCGAATCACCTACAAACTTCACTCTTTATCAGATTTTGGTCAAACATTATACAGTGGTCAAATTACGAGTTTACTTTGGACATCGGTGTATTTCAGGAGCTCAAGGTCAAGGCCAATGTTACCCTTTATATAATATGGTCAACCTTTTACTCAACGAGCATATTTGATTATACTTTGGACTTTGGTGTGTTTTAGGGGTCCAAGGTCAAGGCCAACTAATTTCACTTGGCGGAGGGGGCATTTACAGACATTTTTTAGTTTTTAAAACTGGTGAAAGTATTTGCAATAAAAGATCAGTATTGAAATTGTAATAGAGAGTAACTTAAAAAAACACTGAAAAAATAAAAACCTTGAAAAGGTTATTTTGTTTCATTTTTCGAAGTGAATTTTAATTTGCAGAGAGAAGAAAACATAATTCCAATTAAACGGATAGAATTATCTGAAATATTCTTCAAAGATTGAGTTTGAAGCTCTCTCAAAAATGAAAACATTTTGAAATTATCCTGTCTAACATTTATGATAGGATGAACACATTTTTTTAGAAAGGTAAGATTATGTCATCCATATTGTATAATCTGAAAATTTAACTTGGTATGAATTTTTTCTCACGGACTAAAAAATGAAGAGGAAAAGATATTGCCACAGGCTTGGACAAAACATTACCGATTCATTGATATTTGTGCACAGTCGCATTTCACTTTTCATATATCCAGCAGGCATAGCATGTGGCAGTAAAAATGTTTTCTTGGTTCTTATGGTTTTAGAGAAACAGTAACTACTTAAGACATACCCATGATCTAGGTCAATAGTTTGAATGAAACATAGTAAAATTTATTAAAAAATAAAATGTTATTCTTGAAAAATCCAAGAAACAAGTTGTGTACCTCTCCGTAGGAATCCCCTCCCCCACACATTGTATATTGTCTTCCTAGAATTTCTCCCCGAAGTTCTGTCAAAGCTAAAAGTTCGACCTAGACACTGCCATTTCATATTAAAATGGTTTTCTACCATATACCACTGTGTAACGTCAGGTTGGTAGTGGAGGTTGAAGTCTCGTTTATCTGACAGTTGATGACGGCCAGATCGATCCTGAATAACTGGGACAGCTATCTGATGGCAGTGATACACGTATCCATAACATTATAATGATTCGCTCCCCCCCCCCCCCCCCCCCCCCCCCCCCCAAAAAATAATCAAGGTCATATCTATTCTATGTTTAATTTAATCAATTTATCTACATTTCATTATGTCATTTTGAGTACCGGGACTTCCTAATTCATCAACAGATATCTAAGTGTAACTAAAACATATATTACAAAACAAACATTTCTCCGTCAAGCATTGTAAGTAATATTCATTGGGTTTATTGTGTTATGAAAAAAGTCGAAACTGTTTTTGACATAAGTGGAGCTGTGTATTTGTAGATACACTCCTTTACTTTACTGGTTTGGAACTGATGGTATATTTGGACACGCCTCTGCGGGCTTTCACAAAGAGGT